TTCTGAAAGCCACAGGGTCAAAACAATGCTTCTAATCTTGTTTGAAATCCCATGTGTACTTTGTTTAGTTATGGTTTTGTGCCAGGTTTTTTTGACTGATTTTTTTCTTGTAAGTGGGGGTTGCAGTTTCTTCTCAGGGGTTGAAATTCTGGTTTCATAGAAATCAATATAAAGCTTCAGTCAGACCAGGATTATGTTGAGAATCCTGAAAGAAGGAAAATTGTTATTGCTTCTTGTTCCCACATTTCTAGAGTTCTAGTAGACTGTATAGAATTTTGAGAAATAGGAAAAGCATTCTAGGTAAGAGTATAGATAAGAGCAAAATTTCTTTTAGCCTGTTTCAGAAGCTTGGGTTTGAAATTTTTTTTCAGATGTGTTGAACCACAGTGGATTTTTTCCCTTAGCTTTAAATAGTACATTTGTTTTTTCTGCCATTCTGCTATCCTTATTTATATTGAGTGTGTTCCAAACCCCTGTGAAGTTAGTGGAAACACTCTCACTGAACCCAGTGAACTCACCTCAGAGTTTCCCCTCCACCTGAAGTCAGAGGGAAATCAGGAAGGCTGCCTGTGGCATGGGAGACTGAGGGTTTCAGGAGAGAGGGAAGTGTGCCCTTATCCTGTGCTCTTCTCCTCGTTTGAGGGAATGCTGCTTTATGAGGATGTAACAGGACTCTGCTTGTGCTCCAGTGCCTACATCAGCCCTCAGTCTTACACTTTGCGCTAATGGCAGATATTACACCCATGCTCCTCTGATTCTTGTAAAATAGCTAAAGGTGATAAAAGATGAAATACATTAAATTATATTCATTTTTACTCTTTTGGGCTTCAGTCACCTTTTGCTGCTTTTTTAAGAATTTTTTGCTTAAAAAGTAAATCCATCTGGAATAGGTAGGTTATAGCCATGTTTACACCTCCCTCTGACCCATGCAGGAGAAAAATTAAGAGGTGATGCTTTGAGTGCAGGCAGAGGCATGAAATGGTGGTGGGGAACCAGCTGACTATTTTTTTCTATATACCGTGAAATTCTTATTTTGGACACTTAGCAAAAATTGTATAGTGGAAAAGTAAGCATCACCATTGTGAGCTGTCTCTAAATGTGGCCAGGAACAGGTGAGAAATTGTAAAATAAAATAAAAAAGGGCAGCAGCACTTTGACAGGATGATTCTTTTGCAACAGGAAACTCCTTCCTAACTGGAGCTGTGCATGAGACACCAAGCACTCCAGGCTGAATTTGTGGCACTAACTGTGCCCTGGGGGGTTGCTGACCAGTGAGGAGGAGCAGCAGAACAAACAATAAAGCATTTTTATTAGCCTGGAAGTCAGACCAGTGGGAATTTTCCAGAGAAGGACCTACCCTAGCTCTCTTTCATGAACTAACTTCCTCTAAACAATTTGATAACAAGGGAAATGACAGCAATCAGAAGGAGGGGATGGGGCAGGGGGCAGAAATCCCTACTGTTTTTTACATGTAATTAACCCTACTGTTAATTACATGGATGCTCTGGAGCTGTCAAAATGTGGCATTCCAGTCAACCCATGGCTGTCAGTGGCTGTGGGTGTCTTGTCTCCATGTCAGGAAGCTGCACTGCTCCTTGGACCTGAGCTGGATTGTGCCAGTTTGTGCTGTGGAGTGTTCTGGGTTGGGAGGGACCTCAGACACTCCATGGTTCCACCTTCACCTTCCACCAGACCAGGCTGCTGAAAGCTTCATCCAGCTGGGACTGGAACACCCCAGGGATGTTCCACTCCAGCCACAGCTTCTCTGGGCTGTTCCAGTGTCTCACAGCAGAGGATTTACTCCTAGTACCTAACTTAACCCTGCCTCTGCCAGTTTAGAGCCGTCCCCCCTACCCTGCCACCTCATCACGAAGATCATTGCAGCCAAAGGTCCCAGACAGGGCAAAGGCACTGTGCAAATGGCACTGAGAGACAGATCTCAACTGAGGAAATGCTCTGAGTTATTATTTCTGGCGTCTGATATTCTCACTGGTGGGGCTGTGTCTGCTGCTGCCAGGTCAGAGTGCTTTTGTTTGCAGCAGCATCCCAGTCATCCCACGTGCTGAGGGATGCTGCCCTCTGGTTCAAGCTCTGAGTGCTTTAATCTGACAGAAATAAAGATCAGGGATCTCCCAGAATGGTTCTGCCTGATACGTACTAGCACTTCTAGAAACTTCTTTGAGTTAGGCTTTTCTTCTTGTGTCTTACTCTGGTCTGCTGTAAAAGATAAAGATTGATTTCAATGGGAATTAGATAAACACCTTCAAAGATGTGACTTCAATGAGAAATAGACACATAAGTATCTTTAAAGATTTGATTGAATGCTGGATCCATTCTGCACTGAAATAACAGCATGCTCTGAATTGATTCTGCTGAGCATACTCAGATCCTTTTAAACTAATGCTGCAGCCAAAGCTTTAGGCACTGCAGAAATGTGACTCTAAACCAGGGTTCTGAAGGTCACCTGGCTTTTAGGATTGTCTTTCACTGAAGGTGAAACTACTCTTCTTTTTTGTTTTTAACCAAAGGCAAGAACTTCTCAAGTACTTAAAAGTAGCATCAATGGTTCAACGAAACTTTTCCTGCAACTGCTGCCTTGAATTTTGAGAGGTTTTCTTGTATATCAAAGCCAAGAGACTTAGCTTATGGGTACCTCTGTATAATTTCTTGACATTGGGATTTGAGGATGACCACCAGGATTTCAAACCAGTAAAGTTAATCTAACTGTACACTATTCTCTCTTCAGTCTTTGCATGCTTAAAATAACCCAAAATTATTTCTGACTAAATATACTAGTAAAGAAACTGGAAATACCACAGCTGATGAAATGAGGACAGGTTGGGCCAACTTTTTTTTCCCTCCTTATAATTGCCAGTTATTGACTTCCTTTTTGTCAAGGTCACCAGAAAGCTATGGAAAACTTTATCCCAGAATATTGGGTTTACTGGCATTCCTTGAAGAAAAAGCGTAAAATACGTGAAGAACTTGCAGAGTCTCTGCCCTCGAGTCTCTTTACAAGAAACTATTTTTGTGATTAGATGCTGGACCAAGCTGCTCTGCAATCTTTCCACTGCTATTAACTGTAAATAACTTCCAGCCTTGCATTAACCCCTTCAGCTCCTGACAAGCCAAACTGTTCTCTATCTGCCAGGCCTAATGAGAGAAACAGATGAGCTGGGAATTCGAAGCAGGGTCTAAGGCAGAGCTCTTTTTTTCTTGGGGCTGTGTTTATGAACTCTTCTGTAACTTTCTCATTCCTGACTCCCCTTAGAGAGTGCAAATATTTTTATCGGGTTGAACGTTTTTGGGAAATACATCCATGGTCATGGCTGGATCTTGGTCTTGTGCCTGCTGAAGCAAATGACAACGTTCTTGCTGGCCTTTGGGAAATGGCTGTGTGCTCTGCAGGCATTGACCTGAAAAGACTTTAGGATCTCTTTGATAGGCCCAAGCTGGAAATGTAGCTCTAAATTCAGTTCCTAATTCTGTGTCATTGTCCAAGGACCTCAGATATGAGTGGAGCCTGTAAATGCTAAAATAAAAAATGCTGATAGGAATACAAATATGAACACATGTTAAGGAGGAAGGCAGCTCTTTTGGAGCAAATCTTGAGAGGCAAATTCTCTAGCCCTGTGCATTCCCTTCTGGAATGTCTATGTAATGCCAAGATCATGTCTCAGTCCTGACTCCTAAATGCTCTGCCATGACTTAGCTGCAGATGGAATCTGGCTGAGAACTTTCAGATGCCTTTGTGCACACTAAAGACAATGGAGGCACAGGGGAGAAGTCCACGCTTCAGAGCTGGTGATGGTTTGGGCTCGAACATTCCAGGATTAAAGATGCTGCCATCCTATGGAATCGTGTGTACCTGTCAGGCTGCAGCTGGGCTGGGCTGTGCTGTGAATGCTCCAGCCACACATACACAGCTGAGGAGTGGCCCTGTCGTGGCTTTGGGGGATGCAGGCTTCCTTCCCTGTGCAGGGCAGGTTTCCACCTCTGCCTCTTTATCCACGGCAGTGTTACGATGTCTCCTATGAAACACAGAAATCTCACATTAAGAACTCTCATCGGAGAAATACACTATGAAGTGGATTAACTGAAGCTCAATCTTATGCCACATATTATGGATGAGGAAAGTTTTATACTTACTCTCACTTTGCCACAAAAGAGGGGGGAAGACCATTAAAAAATTCTTGCACTAAAAACATTCCCAGGCACTCTTGAGTTTTTTTATTTTCCTCTTTTAATGGGAATTATGCCACAGAGGCACTGGCTTATGAAGTTCATTAGGTTTTAAAAATATGTTTCAGCCTCTTGGTCAGAGAAAATTAAAAATTGGCAGGAGGTCACGTGGGAAAATTCTGGCAGAGCTGAGAAGTGGCTCCAGTCTCCCCCATGGTCCTTGGAAAAGGATTCTGGCTTTTCTCTTTCCTTCTGGGTGTTGGACAAAGTCCTCCAATCCAGCATCTGCCAGCAGAATATCACCACTGGCTTGAATGAACATTAGGTTGTGTATCAAAATGATGAGTGGATGTGTTATCACAAATTATCTAACTGTACCCAACTGCCCTGGCTGGAATTCTGGTCCTTACAGTTTTCCACAGCACTTTTTATTCTCATTCAGGCCATGAGCATCTGTAGTGAGTATTCTTCTGGATTTTGCAACCCAGGAGCAGCCTTGGCTTTGTGGTTTTTCTTTCCAAAAACAAACCTGTCAGCTTTCTGTCTCAACCACGAGGGGAGAACCGAGGCCTCTCGAGGCTGTGCTCTGTGCTTCTGCCAGTTACTCCCCTCCCATGGTGTTCCTACCCTCAAAAATCATCATGATGTCCAAAATAACTTGTCTTCATCAAAAGCTGTGATCAAAAAGAAATATTACTAAATCTATATTTTTACTGCTTGATTTTTTTTCAGGACTCCACTCCATGGGCTTCAGATCACTACCCGGGAAACTGCTGTGGTTGGAGCTGCAATAGGCTGATGGATAAATAAATCTTCTGTCCCATCCTCTTTGCTTAATCTGGGATTCTCAAAGGTATTCACACATCAGAGAAGGTAAGAGCAAAGCTTTTTCCATTTTTCCATTCTGTGTTTTCATCCCAGAGCTTGGTTGTGCTGCTTCTAAGGATGAGCCTGTATTGTTTTGGGACCCAGTCAGACTGGGGGTTCTGCAATGGAAATTGTTGTTTGTGCTGAGCCCCACACAGCAGAGCAGATCCCATTACAGGTTTGGGGCTGGGTCACAGGGAAAACAACAGGTGCTTGAAATGTCCAGAAAGAGGGGGGAGATCAAAGGAGAAGAGCTGGGAAAGGTTTAGGCTGGGCAGAGCAGGGGAGGCTCAGCCTGGCCATCTAGTCCAATGCAGATGTGATGTTTTGCCTGTCTGTCTTCTGTGGAGGCACAGAAAGGAACAAACAGTGAGAAAAATAATAATTAAAAGTGTGGTGATGGTGGCTTTCAGATTGGAAACTACAAGGTTATATTATTGGTGCAGAAACTTTGGCTATGTATGGAGCCCAGAACTGTTGTAATTTTGCTCTCATAAGCAAGGCATCTGTGTATCCAAATGAAGTGTCTAGGAGAAAATCTTTTCCAGATTAAGCTAGAAGACTAACATTTGGTGCTGGAAAGATACACTTCTCTGCTATGGTTTCTTCCTGATGAGTTTGCAAATCTCTCCTGGATAGTTAATGCACCCTTTCCATTTAAAATTTGAAAGGCAAAATGTTTTCTTTTACAATTTTGTTGATGTGTGCATGTCAGGGTGAAAAAGGGGGAAGGAGGAAGCAAGGGATGGAGATGGACTCTTGTGTCTTGCTTTAAGGTCGTGTGTTAAGCATAATCCCTTCGAATTCATCTGTAGAAACTGTGTCAGCATCCACAGGGGGCTGCTGTGTCTGAACAAGACTGCTCAATTTGTTTTTGATTAAGCACAATTATTTATTGTGAGACATGCAGTATGGGTAATGCCATCTGAGTCTGGCAGGGAAGGTGTGTGTTATGATTTGGGTCTGCTGTTTCTGTCTTGGCTTAAAGTTATCTCCATCACCCAGTTTTTTTGACAAACAAAAAAGGAATGTGTTTTAGGGATGCAACTTAAAAAGCATTATTTATCCTGACCCAAAGAATGGCAAAAAGAGCAACCTTGAAAGGTTTCTATAATGGAAATGAAACAATCAACACAGAAATATGAGGAAGAAATTACACCCATTAAATACATCTAGACTGATGAATGATATGATGGCTGCCTATTCAAGTTGGAAATTTTACACATGATTGAAGCTTTATTTAGTCTAATGAAATGTGCTTCCTGAATGCTGCATCTGAGTGACGGCGTGACCTAGAGCACAAAAGAAAGTATTATGTGATTAGACTGAGATCATTCTCATTTAAAGTCATTGTGATATAATTTTACGTTTTTAATCAGCAGCATATACTTTTGTGTCCATTGCGTCTTTTATTGCAAATACCTTCTCAGCTCTTGTCCTTCCACAGGCTTGTTTTGAAGCCCAGCACAGATTAACAGCAAAGGGGTTTGGAGTTCATTGATCCTTTTTGGGCTTTTTTAATCCCCCCAAAGTAGTGAATGGTGGGAGGGGAGGAAGCTGATCTTTCAGAATAGGCTCATCTTGTGCTGAATTTTTCCTGAGTTCCATAGGACACTTTTTGCATTTTAGCTTGAAATCCAGCCTAAATACCTTGTTTGGCCCATGAAAATATTGATGGTGTTGTCCTTTAAATCAGTGAAATTAGAGTTATTGGTGGAGCAGCTGATGCTAGAGAGATTCCCCTCAACATCTTGGCTCTGGCAGCTGGCATTTCACGAGGGCTGTGCCATTTTACTGATTTGCATCTCTGGAAGTTTGGACCTACATCCTCTACAGCACACATTTCTGACCCCACCTCACCTTTATGATCTGGGCCTTCACTTTGAAGCTGTTTTGTGTACCAGGCTGGAAGGCAACTCCTCACACAGAAATCCAGTGTTTGGATTAAAAGCTATTAAGTCACGTTGGACTCGAGCAAAACTTAACGTGGTTCATAATACAATTTTATGAGCTATTGAGATTTCTGGCACCATAAAATGAGTTTGCTAATGGGTTTCAGCAGTTGTTACTTAAAGCAATGTTAAAAAGTAATGAAGGGGGAAAGTGAATGTGAGGGGTGAAGCTGCTTCTCAAGCCTACAGTTCTGTCCTTTCCCTGAGCATTAGCAGGGCTAAGCAGGCATTAAACAGGTTCAGAGTGCTGCCTTTGTGTGCAAGAGCTCACTGCAGACCCCATATTTTCAGATGAATATGAACTTGCTGACCACAATCCTGACTTTTAGCTTGTTAGTGAGGTTGACTGATGAACACCCAGGACCAGACAGATAAGCCAGGCCCTTAATCTACCTACTGTATGTGTTCAGTCAGACTAAAGCTTTATCAATCATTTCCAACTGCATTTCTAGGGCATATTGTATAGCTTCCCATTACCATAAATCACTGAATTTGGAGCCAGTAGCAATTTAACCATCTCATTGGTGAGGCATCTGAAGGTGCCCACGTACCTGTAAGTACCTTAATTTGTGCCTGTATGGAAAATTCATAATTCCCTAGCACATTTTCTGGTTTTATTGCAGCCTGTAGTTGAAATCTGGGAGGGCAAAAGAAAAAAGTCAGGAACAGCCTTTCAATAACAGTTTTTAAAAGATTTCAATTTGAAATTTGGTATAATTTTCTTAGCTCACTTTTTAACTCACTGCATAGATATCTTCTTGATCTGGCTTGTATTTCCTGCTTCAATGAAAAGGATAAAGTTAAAAAAGGGTATTATAAATGCATGTGCCAATTGCAGAATAATATCTAATGCTGAGAGAAAAAAATATATTTTCCCAAAGGAGACTTCCCCATTTTTTGCCTGTCATATTATTTTTTAATTCTGTTTTTACACATATAGTTGTGTAGGCTAATCGTGTATTTCATGAAAGTAAGGCAGCCTTCTACAGGTAGGGAGGGCCACCTTGCCTGATCATTTTTTGGTCTCTTTACAGAATTTAGGCTTCAGATGTGCTCAGACCATTTTTGTTCTGTTTCAGTTAATGTCTGGCTTAAAATTCAAGGCATGAGGTCCGACATTCCAAAATCTCATGTTAGCATTCCAAATCTCACGTTAGCACTCTGGATTGTGACAAACTTGGGTACTTCGAGCCATGAGAGATTTGACTCCTTTTGGAGCCTTGCTAAGATGGTCACAACTGCAGGCATAGACAAACTGTCCAGCCACTGGTTCCCAGGAATAAATTGAATATCATGGCTTAATTTCTAGAAGCCTTCATATTTGTCATCAGAATTTAGTTTTTGTTGTTTTTAGCTATTTTTGTACCTTTTTCCCCTTGGTGGCCGTGGTGAGTGTACATTGGTGTGGAATGTGAGAAGCTGGTGCAGCCTATTTGAAGTCATGCAACAGTCGCTTAAGTTAGAGCTTATCAAACCCAAGGTTTTTTCATTATTTTCCCCTCAAATTACATTTTGTGGTCTATTAGGCATAATTTTCTGATAACTGATGAGGCCTGAGTGCATTCCCTGTCATATAGGGCTGGCCTAGATTTGGGCCAGGCTTTGTGCATTATAAACCTGTCAACAGATCCTGTTTTCAGCTGCGGTGCAGCGCTGAAGGGCAGCGAGAAGGAGACATGATAAAGTCTTTGGGACAAATTACACATCACAAATTAATTATATGTAATGCTTGGCATAACAGACATGAATTTTGGGCAGGACCACAATGCTTGTTTTTACTGCCAGCAATTATCATGTGCTTTAAGTCATGTCTTGGATGAGGAGCGGCTCTCGTGGCGTTACGGTAAATGCGCTCAGCGTGAGCGAGCACACACCTACGGGTTTGGGCTCTGCCTGAGGCCATGGAGTGCTTGACTGTGGACACGCTTCAGGTGCTTTCAGAGAAACCTGGTTCCCATGCTGACTGCAGGAACGAGGGGAGCTGTTTCCCTGGGTTTCCGTGAGCTTCTGGGCTGGGGCCCAGAGCCTGATCTCATCTTTGCCTCAAGGACATTTCTGAGAACAGGCAGGCTTGGGCATCCCAGGGATGCCAGAGTGCTTGTAAAGGGCCACAGCCAGCCCTTTATTTACAACTAAATGACTTCCCCAACGTGTTCTGGGGAGCTTTAGGCAGCTGGCGGTTTGTTTCACCTACTTAACATCACACTGACAAGAGCAGACTCCCCGTCCTTTGACAGACAACAGATCAGCTGGTTACAAGTGTTGATCAGCTGGATAAAAGCACAGGGTGAGACTACGCTAGGACTGAAGTCTGGGGTTTGTGGACTGTGGGAAAATTAGTTTTACAGACTTTTGGGTCTCCTCTGCTGAAATGCAGTTCCTGATCACTTTTGTAATTTTGGATGATGCTTAAATGATTTCTCAGACTATGCAAACCACAGGCTGTCCCAAGCTTTGCCAAAGAGTGCAGAGCGGCTGAGAGGCTATGCTTCTGCACAGCATGTTTCTGAGATTTGTCAGCTCTGTCACACTCCTCAGACCTGGGGGAAGGAAGGGAAAGGGGTTTCCAGAGATATTCTGTTCATAATTATGAGGAAACTCACAGCCACACCACATAAAAACCTTCTAATGGTTCTTGCACTGGCACATGAATGGTAGTGAGGAGGATGTAGTTTAAAAATACAACACAGACTTTTTTTCTTATAAAACATTTCAGGAAATCCTGCATTTTAGTGGGAATCTCTCACCTCTGAAGAATGCTGCATTTGAAGAATTTATAATGCTCTATTATCTCTGGGCCTAATTTGCAATATACTCATGTAAAGTGAAATTCAGTCTGCAAAGATACTTCTTTCTGAGCCTTCTTATTGCATACCTATGTAAATATTCTTATGCAAGTACAGACAATAATTATGGCTTAAGGCTATATATATTACGAGCAGGGAATTCCTCATACATTTAAATACATATTTTAGAAGCAAACCTGGATCTGGTTTCAAAATCCAGAGTGGATTGACACCAGTTTACATCATCAGTATCTGGCCTTTCAAAATT